AGAAAAAAAATGTACCCCATTCTTGGCCCCATTGTAAGAAGGCCCCATTGCATCGTCGTGTTCTATTTTAACCCCCAACCTTGTATGTACACTCAACTACAAAAATGACGATCTTTGTGTTTCTCTAGTTTTGAAACCCAAAATCATCGCTCGATCGTAGAGCATTTTCCCTATTCGCATTCAAGACGGGATGTTACGATTGATTCACTCAGGAGAGAATGTATTGTTTGTCTCATTTTTGTCCATTTCCATCGTACAAAAGGAAATAAAAGGAAATGAAATCGTATCACTTTGAAAGTTCTTCCAAGGCTCTTGCGATGGCTCTTTTCTTTTCCATCCGAAACATTATCGCAGTTCGCATTTTATGGGACATCTCTCCCTGCAAACCAAAAAAGAAAAAGAAAGAAAAAGAAAAAATCAACATCAGCATTCTTATAGTTCACTGCTGGAAATCAGATCATGTCACCAACCTTTTGCAGAAGGATTTCATCATCATCCAAAGTCGTGCTGAATCTCTTCAATGTTGCCTCGAGGCCTTGAGCATCGAGGCCCATGCACACATATGGAATCCCTTGGACTGGCTCGGACGTTGCAGGCAACAAGAGCTGTTTCACATCATGGCTATTGCTGGATTCGACAAACCCGTAGTCTTGTATGATCCTGTCATTGTTGAGATTCCCACCACCGTAGGGGAAATTAATTTGCTGTCCCGCAAAAATTTTCTTCCCAGCAATAATCTGAAACAATCCATCACGCGTTGCCTTCAACTGGTGAGGAGAGGCTGCATCGTGGTTGAACATGTCAATCATTGGAATCAGGTACTTGACAGCACCATCTTCATTCGTGTAGATTGTGAGGACTCGACTGACAATCTGGTACACACCCCAAAGAAACTCTTCCCACGTGAACTTAATGTCGTTCGAAAGCCCAACCTGGCTGGCTTCATACGTGCTTCGCAACATTGCAACCCTCGACTTGGTTTCCTGTATCACTGCATCCCATTCCAGCGCATTCAGCTCATTTTCACTGTAGAACTCTGTTGTGTCGCATTGCTCATACTTGGGCAGCATATCAAAGAAAGGTTGAAACCACCCGTTTCTCCTCCGCTCTTCGTCCTTCTCGATCCTAACTAGCTGAGCAGCAGCATATCCAGGGTTAACGCCATCAGATCCAAGATTCAAACAGATATCTCTAGGGATGGATACTATCACTTCTCCTTCCTCAATGTTTTTCTCGGCCGCTACTCCTCTCAGGCCATCGAAGTCGGCTATCGCAACCTTGGAAACCGAAGCACCTCCCGCCTTGAGCCACTGAAAGAATCTCTCGCTATCCGCAGAATCTATCCTGCTCGCTTTCCCCGCCAACGTTGGCTTCGCACCGAAACCCTTTGCGACTGGAGCTCCCTTCTTCGGACTCTTCTTCGCCATCATGAGCGGTGCCATATTGCTCTGCCGAGGAACAGTCTTGCCGCATCTCAGAGGGAGTTGGCAATGAAATGCGCTTGTAGTCGTCAAGGCCTGGATGAACAGTACAGACAGTGTCGTCAGAGTGCAAGATGGCATCTTCGATCAAGCCTCTCCTCCTCTCCTCCTCCTCTACTATTCCCTTCCTCCGACGTACATGTCGGCCTCCAAAGTAACGGGTTCGTAACGAATCAACCTGAGAGTTCACGGCGGGGCGGACTCGGTGAGTCGGCTTTGCCACGGTACTATTCAAAGGCTTGAACCGGCCCGGCCGCGGCGAACTGGGTACCGTACGTGAATGCCCGGCGCGTGCGGAGGCGGCCGGGGCCCGGGCATCAGGAGAGGCTCGGGGACAAGGCTAACGTCGAAAGTTCGGACCAACAGACTCTGTGACTCCGAGCCGCGACTGAGTCACTACTACGGTATCTCACTGCCACTGAGCCTGCTATTTCCCGCCGGATTCGGCATCATGCCCATCACTACAGACTGGAAGGCAAAACAGAGACTGCAGGTTGGCTTTCAATAAACAAAGTTTAGAACATCGACTGGCAACATGCCTCGCTACAGTGTGGCGTCAGCATGGGCAAGGAAATGACAACTTGTAGAAATCTGAAGATGGCATTGTCCTAAGATTGGCTTAGTGAGCGCTTTCCTGGAGAAGACATGTAAGCTGCAGGTTTTCTGAGACACACAACAAAGGGGGAAGAACCTTGACGTATTCATCGTAAGCTTTCTGTAAGAGAGAGGTCAGAGCTAATTCGAACGACATCAAGTCAATTGTGCACCTGGTCCATGAGATCCTTGAAAGGAGCAGAATCTCCGACCTCAATCTGCATGAAAGGATTACCGTACATTCAGAGAAGGACGAGTTGCAGTCAGCAACAAGATCAGTTGTTTGTGAAAGGAAACGTGAAACTGGCAACGATTGGTGAAGTGATGATGACGGGGAGATCAGCTTCGAACCTTGATCATCCAGCCCTTGTCGGTAGGGGAAGAGTTGACAAGGCTTGGTTCGGAAGAGAGGGTGTCATTGACTCCGATGACCTTGCCTAAAAAATCCAAGTCACCAATGCAAATCTCGGGACTCTGATGTAAACGGAACCTGCCAAAGGGCTGTAAACATCGGCAGCAGCCTACCATCGACATCCATGTCAGCAGAACTGTAAGATCAGGAACATTGAAAGCACCTTGACAGATTCCACAGCTCCGAAGCTGTCGCCCGCCTTATACTCAGATCCCTGATGAAGCCATCAACAACACACCAGCACCTATATGCAGAACTCACCACTTCTGGGAGGTCAACATATACAATTTCGCCGAGTTCCTGTTATTACTCTCGTTACCCTCTCAACAACTCCGATCAAGGTTCTGCATCGCCACGTCACCTCCTGCGCATGAGCAGAGATCCCCAGAGTGGCAGTCTTGTTGTCAAGCTTAACCCATTCGTGCGACTTGGTGTACTTGAGTTCGGCGGCCTTTAGGGAAGCTGTACTTTCAAGTCAGAACACTGCAAGTTTGAAACTCTGTTGCACTCACACACTGAGAAGCATCTGAACTGCTGGCGCACAGCGACTGATCTGGCGAAAGCAGGTGCGCTGCGACACTGATCAGCCTCTTGCCACTTGTCGTTGATAAGAGTCACCGTCTTCCGATGGAGCGGGCAAGAACAGGAAGGGATTGAAGCATGATCTGCATTACAGATACATTGTCATCATGAGACCAAGAGCATTTCGTATTGGAACGTTCGGATTGAAACATACTTCCTCGCCCCGACAAAAATTTTACAGCAGCAATCAAGAATCTGCTCATCATCTAATGCCGTAGAACAGCAAACGAGATTGTTTAGGACAAATCGTTTCGGATCTAGCTATATCATCTTGTCCAGCGCCAAGATCAATCTTCTTAACCCCAGCAAATCCTCTTACTACTGGCAAACACGCAATCCATGAGTGCATGGGGGAACCAAATACATCTCAAACACCAGGTCACACATTGTCGTTCAACTGGAAAGCATAAGACGGGCAAGCGATCTTGCGGCCATTTAAACACTGGCTCAACAACATTGCTCATCATTTTCTTCCATCCCCCTTTCTCTCCGCTCTCATCCCGCGCTCTCCGGATTTCCGTACGAAGCCGCCATGATGAGAAGGATCTAAAGGGGCTCTGATGGGGTGGGGGGTCCTCTTTCGATCGTTATTAACTCGAAACATAGTTATATAAAATGTTATTATTATTATTTTCATACAATTGTTTCATAAAACATTTCTAAAATAACAGTAGAATTTACTAATAAGCGATTAAAGCATTACTAACAGTCAAAGATAGCCAATGCGCGGGGTGGGTGTGGAAACGTTTCTCCGGGGTTACTGCAATTCACAGTACTGAATTGCTTTCATAAAAATATTAGTGAGAAAGGTTTTGTAGACTAAACTTATTGTAATACTATATATTACAAAGACATGGGGTAAACACTGGTATTTCGAAAACTTCTTTGGGACTTTACAGCTGATCCACAAATTCTTTGGTAGCAACCTCTTTCCGCGGTTTTTCAGACTACCCTACCTTATCACCCCATTTTTCAATGTACCCTATCAGAGGATACATATACCCCAACAATACTGTGCGATTTGGTTTCAAAAAGTACCCCTACTTTTCTACCTCTACCCCCTTCAGATATTGTTCACCCCCAGTTCCCCCACTGGCACTATGCGTGTGCTTTTCTCCCCAACACTGCAAGTCCAACCACCCCCACCCCCATCGATATCACCCCACCCCCGCAAATTCTGTCTGAACAATGAAGCTGATGTCCCCACCCTCCGCTATCATACGAATACCACCCCTGATTTCTTCAGGAAAACCAAAAAAATTACCCCTACCCACCTATTTAAAACTTGTGCACCCTACCCCCCATTACATCGTTTACACCGAGTTCGCCGGGCTTTTGACTTGGTGAGGTGGCCCGGGCGCCCGGCGCCGATTCAAGTTTATTCAGTGTGCCCGGGCCCCCGGCGGCGGTGGCCCCGGCGTCTGGCCCGGCCCGGGCCAACCCGCTGAGTAACGTGGGACACACTACCGTACTGTTCTGGGAAACTTGAAACGTACCGTAGGCTCACCGTGTGGCACTGAGTCCTTCAACGGCCGCGAGCCGGCGGCCGGGAGAGTCACATCAGTGATGGGCCCCAAGTTCACACCGGCGGCGCGCCGCTGCCGCCCACTGCTCACTGTGCGCGGCCCGCCTCTGGCAGTGGCACCGTGCCAGACTGAGAGTCACTGAGTGACTCGCTCACTGATCGGACGGTCAGCGCGGCAAGTGGCACCAGTTCTGGCAAAGTGCGCCCGGAGTCTGTGAGTTTGCTTTATTCAAGGAAATACAACTCCGAACGGATCTTCGAATGACTGCAATAGTTCTCCTTGATGCCCCTGAGCACTGGCATGAAGAGCCCGCAAATGTTCGAAACAAAGTGTCATCCTTTGTTAGAAGTAGAGATGAAAATTTATCCAGGGTAGTAGCGGACGCCGCAGCAGGACTCACCATCGGGAGGGTTCCAGACCTGGACAGGGTTCGACGAATCAGGAAAGGATGTCTACACCATCAGGAAGGGAAAAGGCATTACCTCTCCAGAGCTGGTGTTGTCCGGCATGTCAACAATGGCACCCAACTGCGCAGTTCCATCACCTTTGAACATTGATACGTTGGGGGATCCTCCGTACAGGCACTGGGTGATTTGCTTTCCAAACATCTGTCACCCAAGAGGTCAGCAAGGCAGAGGACGTTCGGTAACTACAATCAAATAAAAAAAGGGGGTAGAAGAAATTCCTCGGAGTTGTTGCCGATTTTTCTGACTTTCGAACAAACATCCACTCTACAGAATACCTTTTCTTTGAAACAATTTCACTGTATCACCGCTACATCGAAAGGGAAGAATTATCACATCGAGAGCACAAAGCCTATCCATCTCATGTGCAACATTGAGTGTCTACGGATAAACGATTCTCTTGTAGGAAAACCCTGTGCCTTCGTTTTGGCAATTTTCAGCAACTGTCAATCCACACTATCACAAAGTGATTTTCACAGACTTTGAACTTCTGCAAAGATTCATCAATGTCCTCGGACACATTGAACAATTGGGATCAAGTATCGAATATCAACTGACCACTACATCCTACAATTTTTCCGATATTGACATTCTTTGGATAACTAGACTGACGGGTCTTTCCTTCCGCACAGTTCACTCCAAAACCATCTCTATAGCACTCGTTTCAGCACTGTTGTCTTCCTTTACAGGAAATTTCTACTCACAATTACATCTCATCTCATCTCATCTCATCTCATCTCATCTCATCTCATCTCATCTCATCTCATCTCATCTCATCTCATCTCATCTCATCTGATATGATATGATCTCATCTCATCTCATCTCATCGTCCTCAACCCGCTCCCGCTCCCTGTTGATCCGAGATATTTCCTCTCCTCTCACACCTCCTGACTGCTCTCCGCCATCATTCCGGGAAACTCGCCGCCATCCTCCGTCTTTAATCACTGCGCCATTGGCTGCCCCTTCGCACACTAAAAAGAACCGTTACAATCACAATCGGTATATAACGGATATTATACGGGGGTAAATCAACTAAACTTTATTAGTCAACAGAGCCGAACTGAGGGTCTTGTGGAATTCGACGCGAGGGCGATGGCGATGAAACTGGTTTACTTCGACCTGAGGGGGAAGGCAGAGGTCCTTCGCCTCATGCTCCATGTCGCAGGGCAGGAGTTTGATGACTGTCCTGGGGGTGAGTCGTCTCTGTTTCCCTGCATGCTGTCTGTCTTGTGCGCGCGCGTTGAATCCGTGCCTTGGGATCTCCGGAGGATCGCACGTGAGGTGGGGAAATTGTGTTTTGAGTCTGTGTATGTGCATGCAAGGCGGAACTGTGTATTGTGATCAAGTGGAATCATGAATGTCAGATGCTAAGTACGCCGGATTGGTCTGATCTTCTTGATTTGTCAGGGGTGAACAAGGCAGATTGGGATTCTCAGTTGCTGTTCGGGCAACTTCCGCTGCTCATCGATGGGGATCGCAAGATTGTCCAGTCTGGAGCGATCGCTCGCTACCTTGCCTCCAAACTGAACTTGTGCGGAAGCACTGAGGATGATAAGCTTCTGTGCGATCAGTTGTACGAGGGGGCTGAAGACGTGTTTCAAGCCCTCTGGCCGGCATGCACAAAATACCGCGGCGGAAGTCCTGAGGCCCTGGAGAAGGTGCTTGCGGAGGGGGGCAATGTACACAAGTACTTGACAAGGTTCAACGCCATCCTTGAAGGAAAGAAGTTCTTCCTTGGCGAAACTTTCAGCTATGCAGACCTTGCCCTTTACAACGTTTTGACACTCTCCAGTGCCATTGACGTGAACAATTACATAGCGCCTAACTTCCCTAACATCAAGAAGCACTTCGATGCGGTCGAAGCTCATCCTAAGATCGACGCATGTAACTCACAGACTTTTGCTTCCATCGGTCTTCTGATCTTCACACAGATAACAAGTCGGGGAAGCGACGCCCTCCATTCGAGCCCTTCACGTTCTAGAAAGTGTCAATTCCTAGAGCTCGTTGCTTCGTATGCTGTAGGTAGCAGCGTAGCATTGATGCAAAACAAGTACAATTGGGTTTTGAAGAGCAAGCGGCACTGTCACTCACACTACATTACATTAGTACGATGTAATTGCCTCGCGGCTTTTTGGCTAGGCAAGTTGGGAGCGTGCGAGACTGAGTGAAATTCAGCCCGCACGCAGATCACATGAAAGCACATCGAGACGGGCCTCACGTTATTGCTTGAGCCTGAACTGACGCCGCGAGTTTGATGACAAGACCGGCCCATGCACTGAACAAGAACTTGATGTATTGCTGCACGTACGGGAGTACCCGTGGCAGTCCGATCCTACTTGCCGCGCGGCCCGGCGCAGTCACGCTGCCCGGCCGGTGCACTCAGCGGTGCCGGCGGTCTCGGAGGCGGCTCTGCCACTGATTCCCGGAGGCACCCGGGCCTTCCGCTCTCCGCTGAGGCGGACTGGAACCATTTCAATTGAGTAAAACTTCAAGAGCGGCAGCTCCAGTCCGCCCGCCACCTTCCCAAAAAGGAAAGCAAACTCGCCCGACGACCGTCTGCCCCAAATTGCTCAATTAAATTTTTCATTAAATTTTGAAATTTCCTCCCGGTTTATGAAATGTACATCACGATCTGAAATTACCCCTCCCGCCCTCTCTTACTCCGCTCCTTCCCCCGCCTTGCTATCACCGCCAAGCCATGGTACGTCGCCGCCATGCACAGCTCGCGCAAATCTCTCATCTACACCCTCCTCCTCCCTCCCTCCTCTCCTCCCCCCCGTTCTCGTAGTGCAATGCTATCGTTATTAGAAGCTCTTCATTCTTCCTGCTGCTCCTTCCCCTTCCCATGCCACATCGTCTCTTGATACCCCCTCCGCTTCTGTTGTTTGTAAGCCCTTCCTCAAGCTTTCCCTCTCCACCTTTCCATAGCTTTGCTGCTCCATCTTATCTCCTCTCCTTTTCTCGAAACGGTTGTCCTCGCATAACATCTCACCTTCGAGTTGCTTTTGACTTCCTTCACAGAGCTCTAGGAGACCCCGTAGACGAGTACAAGCTGATGATGATTCCGAGCCGCCTGCGAGCTCGCCAGCAGCCGCGAGCTCGCCAGCAGCGGCCCAATCTAGCTCTAATATGCCGACTCCAGCAAGCGAGCCAGCGATAAGCCAAGTGAGAAGACTTGCGAGAGGAGATGCAGGCGGCTGACTTGCCTTGTCTGCGCAGGACCGTGTTGAGAACAGCGATGATGAAGGAGAAGATCTCCATGACGAGACCCAGCTGGCAAGGGACTACATGCCCGTGCCGGAGTTGGATACTTACGACCAGGAGGACCTCGATGGGTCGGAGTATTCACCCATGTCGCCTTCAGCTCGCATTGCAGCTGAGGCTCAGATGCGAAAGAGAGATCGAGATACACAGAAGGCAGCCGGCAGAGTCCCCCGAGCTCTTCGTGGGTTCGATGACGACGACGAGCGCCCGTCGCGTCGCCGCCGCAGGGAGAGGGAGGAGGCGGCTGGGCTGGAGTCTGCAGATGTCTCGGTGAACATTGAGGACCTCCCAGAGGGAGTTTCGCTCCCGGACTTCATCCAGACGGACATCGCGAAGAGGGAGATCAAGAGGCGATTCGGAGTGTTCCTGCGCACCTTCACGGACGAGCAGGGGAGAGCCGTGTACCGTGACAAGATCAAGCGGATGTGCGATGCGAACAAGCAGAGCTTGGAGGTCAGCTACATGCATCTCTCAAATGCTCAGCGCATCTTCGGCATCTGGGTGGCGGACGCCCCCGAGCCGATCCTCGAGGTTCTGAACGAGGCGGCGATGGACGTGGTGCTGCAGCTCTACCCCAACTACGAGGACATCCATAGCGAGATCTTCGTGCGCATCATTGAGCTCCCTATCACCGACAAGCTGCGAGATATCCGACAGGTCGATCTTTGCTCCTGCTCCTGCTCCTGCTCCTGCTCCTGCTCCTGCTCCTGCTCCTGCTTCCCTTCCTCTCCCACCCTCTCCGTCTACTCTACTTTCCTCCTCCACCACGCTTTCCGCATTATCTGCTTCCTCCGTGCTGCTTCATACTGGGACTGAATCGCTCTGCGCAGGTTCACCTCAACGTTCTCGTCAAGGTGGGAGGAGTCATCACAAGGAGGACGGCGATCTATCCGCAGCTCAAGCTCGTCATGTTCGAGTGCGGCAAGTGCGGCCTCGTCTTCGGCCCCTTCTACCAGCAGAACGCTGCCAGTGACGTCAAGCCCGGGTCCTGCCCGGAGTGCCAGAGCCGGGGCCCGTTGAGCGTGAACCAGGAGAGGACGGTCTACCGCAACTACCAGAAGATGACGTTGCAGGAGACGCCCGGGACGGTCCCAGCTGGGCGTCTGCCCCGATACAAGGACGTGATCCTCGTCGGTGATCTGATCGACTGCGCGAGGCCCGGGGAGCAGGTGGAGGTGACGGGCGTCTACAAGAACAACTTTGACTCCTCCCTCAACACCAAGAACGGCTTCCCCGTCTTCGCTACCATAATCGAGGCCAACCACGTGAGCAAGAAGGACGACATCTACTCGCCCTTCCGCCTGACTGAGGACGACGAGACCAAGATCCGTGAGCTCTCCAAGGACCCTCAGATCGTTCAGAAGATCGTCTCCAGCATCGCTCCCTCCATCTTCGGGCACGAGGACGTCAAGACTGCCCTCGCGCTCTCGATGTTCGGAGGGCAGGCCAAGGACATCTCAGGCAAGCACAGGATCAGAGGAGACATCAACGTCCTCCTCCTCGGTGACCCGGGAACGGCCAAGTCTCAGTTCCTCAAGTACGTAGAGAAGAGCATGCCTCGCGCCATCTTCGCCACGGGCAAGGGAGCGAGTGCGGTCGGTCTGACCGCCGGAGTTCATCGGGACCCGATCACGAGGGAGTGGACACTGGAAGGAGGAGCGCTGGTGCTGGCCGACACAGGCGTCTGCCTCATCGACGAGTTTGACAAGATGTCAGACCAGGACAGGACCAGCATCCACGAGGCGATGGAGCAGCAGAGCATCTCAGTGTCTAAGGCCGGGATCGTGACCAGCCTGCAGGCGAGGTGCGCGGTGATCGCAGCCGCCAACCCCAAGGCAGGACGGTACAACTCGTCCATGCACTTCCACGAGAACGTTGAGCTGACTGAGCCCATCCTCTCTCGCTTCGACGTGCTGTGTGTGGTGAAAGATACTATCGATCCCATCCTGGACAGCCAGCTCGCGGACTTTGTGGTCCAGTCGCACGACAGGAGCCATCCCGGGAAGCGAGCGGAGGCGGAGGCAGCAGGAGAGGAGGCGAGCGACGAGGGGGAGGGGCCGATCCCTCAGAGTCTTCTGAAGAAGTACATCGTGTACGCCAAGAAGCACGTCAGGCCCAAGATCAGCCAGATCGACAGCGACAAGGTCACGAAACTTTACGCGGAGCTGAGGAGGGAAAGCGAGGCGGGGGGAGGGATCCCGATCGCTGTCCGCCACGTCGAGAGTATTATCCGAATGTCCGAGTCGTTTGCTAGGATGCACTTGCGTGAGATCGTGAGGGACGACGACGTGAACTTGGCGATCCGAGTCATGCTGGACTCCTTCATCTCCTCCCAGAAGTACAGCGTGCAGCGCAACCTCCGGCGCTCCTTCCATCGCTACCTCGCCTTCCAGAAGGACAACAACGAGCTTCTCCTCTACATCCTCCAGGCCATGGTCAGGGACGAGCTCCAGTACACGCGCTCCCGCAACTTCCTTCGGCTGCAAGAGGAGGAGGAGGTCAAGGTGGAGCAGCAGGACTTTGAGCAGAGGGCCAAGAACATCGGCGTCCACCAGTTCCACGACTTCTACGCTTCCCAGCTCTTCAGCTCGAAGTTCCGCCTCGACAAGTCGACCAAGATGATCGTTTGCTCGTCCTAAGCTGGGGCGTTCTAGAGGCCCGCGAAGATTTGTACTTGTTTCAAATAAATCTACAAGATGATATTCCACCTGCTCCCGCTCCGGCTGCTGCCCCTGCTCCTGCTCCTGCTCCTGCTCCTGCTCCTGCTCCTTCTCCTGCTCCTCCTTCTCCTGCTCCTGCTCCTGCTCCTGCTCCACCAGCTTCTCTTCCTCCTCTCCCTTCATCCGCGCAACTGTTACTTGTCGAACTCCACCACCTGATCCGTATGCTCCTGTCTCTGCTGCCCTTTCCCCTTCCCTCCTTCGACTCATCCTCGCCCTCCGCTCGTGGTTTTCTCTTGCGTTTCGCTGAGGTTCAAGGACGCGGGGGGGGGGAGAAGAGAAGGAAATTTATATAGAGGTGGACAAGCGAGGGAAACGAGAAGGCAGGAGGAGGAGAGGGAGAAGGAGGAGAGGGAGGAGGAAGAAGCGGATGAGTGTTTCTAGTCAGTCAACTTGTCTTGACTCAAGAATTGAGAAAGAGCGTCATGAACTTGGTCGAACAGCCTGCAGATCATTATTTCAGTCGCTGCCGTAGGAGGAGCAGAGGAAGGGAGAGGAGGAGGAATTGTAGAAATGACAAAGGGAGGTGAGGGAAAGTGGAGAGGGGAGAGGGGAGAGCAGGGGACGAAGGGGAGGAAGAAGAACAAGGAGGAGAATTGCAATGGAGGGAGGGTTGAGAGAGGAGAGAGCGAGGAGAGGAAGAACAGCAGAGGGGAGAAAGCAGAGGGGAGGAAGGGGAGGAAAGGGAGAGAGGAGAGGGGAGGGAGGGAGGGAGGGGAATAGGAACTATGTAGGAGGGCAAGGAGGGAGGATGTGGATAGGAGAGTTAGGAGATATTTCAGACCCAGTGGCTTCCGCGTCGAAACCTCCAGCGAACTGCACGAGAGTGAGAGGAGGAGCAAGTGAAGTTGCTCGACCTGATGCACGCGGAAAGAAAACTTCAAGGCGGAGTTGAGCAGATTCTGAACCTGAGAGAGCGGCAATTTCAACGAGAGACGATGGACAGGGGGGCGAAGAGGGAGAGGGAGAAGGAGAGGGAGGGGGGAAGGAGGGGAGGGGGGAAGAGGGGAGGGAGGGGGGTAGGGGGGA